TCTAATAATAAATATATATTATATTGTAATTATATTTATATATATTATATTATAGTATAACATAATATAGTCGTAATTTTTAACTATCCACAGCATTTTAACATCATAATTTACTAAATGCTATTATACTGATTTTAAAATCAGTATAGCTACTATAATTATAGTTTACTAAACACTCAACTTCTTTTTCCTTCAACACAGTTAAAAGTAATTTTTTCAAAATTTACAGCATTATCAAACTAAGCCTAGGTGAAGAAACTTAAGGGCTGGAGAAGAATAGTGCCAACGAGCTCTGTGTGAGGGCATCAAGGTTGGAGGCACTGACAATCCTATGTGGAATATTTGAGGCTTAGTTGGTGGAGGTCGACCTTGGTGAAATGGGTCCATAGTCGTGGGATGCTGGATCGAGAGAATAAGGTGTCTTCATTGAATGTTTGAGCACGATGTTGATCACCGATGGGAGATGGTTTAGTGACGGTGGCAATTAGTATCCTCCATGGTGTTATCTTCGTTATTTTTATTTCTTTTTGTTTTTTGTTTTGTTTATAATAAAGTCAATGTTATTTTCTTCATGTTTACATGTTTTAATAATGGAGGTGACTTCCTCCTGTTTTGATTTTATTTGTGTGTCTCATCCTTTTAAATTGGTTATTAATGGTTGGTGAACAATTAGAGTTGTTCTTAGTTTATGTTGCTCGCATCCTTGGCATTCGAGATGGTTGCGAGATCGAATTTTAGTTGCACTCAATTTTACTTGCGTCGAGTAAATCTTTTCATGTTAGGTCTCATTAGTTATGTTTGTCCTCGTCCTACTTGTGGATTTAGGGAGCGTTTGGTAGAGGGATTCATTCCCTGATTCGAATCATGATTCGTGATTCACTACAGTATTTTCTCTCATAAAAAATACACGTAAATCAAAAATGGTTCGAATCAGGGAAGGAAGGGGAAATCGTCAAGGATGACTTCTTTGTTGGCGAAACGAAGGTCGCGCCAGTGATTCTCTGAGCCGGTCTGGATTTCCAACGCCTCGGGAAACTGGTCGAGATTATTTGTAACTATATTTAAGTATGAGAAAAAAAAACTACAATACCTCTGTTACTTCTCGTCATCCATATCGTCATGACCGCAGCAGAAAGAGATCGCATCAAAGAAGAAGGAGATCGCGATTTCATCATGATCCGCCGCCATGCGACCCCCTCCATGTTGGTGGCAGCTTGAGTCACCAGATTGTTTGGGTTTTTTTTTTTTACTTTTTTTTAATTACATAAAAAAGTTGTTATATGATGTATTTGTGTTCTTTTTTATGTCCATGAAACTGTATTTATTTATTTATTTATTTTTGCATTTTTGTGATTACATAGAAAAGTTGTTGTCTGATGTGTTTGTGTCCATTTTTATTATTCAATCAGAGAGTTTTCAAAGAATTTATTATCAATACGTATCCGTATCATTCTGCACTGTAGTCCTCCCCTTAAAAGTAAATGCGTAGGTCAGGTCACGTTGGTATAACGCAATAGAGAGAGGGGAATTTGTGTCCGAGCGCGTAGTACCCAAGTCTTTCTTGTCGCCATAATAAAATCCAAAAGAAAAATACGAAACTAAAAAAAGAAATAGAAAAGAAAAAAAAAAAAAAGATAGAAAGAAGAAGAGGAGAGAAGAGAAAATGTGTAAAGGAAGACCAGAAGACTTGGAAGACTAAAGAGCGGAAGAAGAAGAAGAAGAGCGTTTAAATCCGTGCATTAGCTACGATTGATTCTCGATCTCTTTGAGTTTTGATCTTTGAATTGCTAAATTACTTTCCTTTATCAACTCATTCTCATCAATCCGACGCCCCGGCTTTCTCCATCAAGGTCTGTTTTTTTTTTTTTTTTTTTCCTTTCATATCCCTTTTTTTTCTTTTAATTTTATTTATCTAGATTTGAGTTTCTAATTTTTCTTTTGGAGCTTACAGGTAATAATTCATGCTTCTTCTTCTTTGCTATTTTTTTTTTCTTTTATGTAGATTAGATATACTTTACTAAATATTGTTTCTTTCATTTTGTGTTTCCAAATGAATTTTTTTTGCGTTTTCTTTAACTTTTATTACAGGACTAAAAAGTCGATGTTTTTTTTAATAACATTTCACGATTTTCTAAAAAGAAGAAAAAAAAATTTAATTGAGGGGAGTTTAAGGACCAATTTTTATGAGGCGAGTGCTAAAAGAATTGTGTTTTCTCAGATTGTTTTCCGTGGAATTAGAAGGGTGGGTCACTGGGTTTGAAGTTGTGATGGTGAAGACATATGGATTCGAACTTTGAATATGACAAATTAAGGAATCAAACTCACAACAATTAGGAAGGAATCATTAAACAAGAAGAAGAAGAAGAAGAAAATACTAAGATGTTGGAGGGAGGTCCAAAATTCAGCGGAATTATTAGCCATGAGAACAACAACAACAACAACAACAAGTACGGGGAATTCAATCTGTCCCAAGTCCAAGGTCAAGGCTTCTATTACAAGCTTGATGAGGGCACCAACATGTCCATTGACAGCTTTGCCAGCCTCCAAACCAGCAACGACGGTGGATCCGTCGCCATGTCCATCGACAACAGCAGCGTCGCCTCCAACACCAACGACTCCCACACCCGCATCTTGAACCACCAGGGCCTTAAACGCCGCCCCAATGACAACTACTCTGTCCAGCACAGCGTCAACCGCCGTGGGAGAGTGATGCACGCTCTCGGCGATGATGCCCTCGCTCGAGCCCTCATGGACAACACTTTCTCCGTGGAGGGGCTGGAGGATTACGAGGAGTGGACCCTCGATTTGAGAAAGCTCAACATGGGGGAGGCATTTGCCCAAGGCGCGTTCGGTAAGCTTTACAGAGGGACTTATAAGGGGGAGGATGTCGCCATCAAGCTGCTGGAGAGGCCTGAGAATGACCCCGAGAAGGCTCAGCTGATGGAGCAGCAGTTTCAGCAGGAGGTCAAGATGCTTGCCACCCTCAGGCATCCCAACATTGTGCGTTTCATCGGGGGCTGCCGTAAACCGATGGTGTGGTGCATTGTCACCGAATATGCTAAGGGTGGATCCGTTCGCCAGTTTTTGATGAAGCGCCAGACCCGCTCTGTCCCTTTGAAATTGGCGGTCAAGCAAGCGTTGGATGTTGCCAGGGGAATGGCCTATGTCCATGCTCTGGGGTTGATTCATCGAGACCTTAAGTCGGACAATCTTTTGATCTTTGCTGACAAATCAATAAAAATTGCCGATTTTGGTGTTGCTCGGATTGAAGTTCAGACGGAAGGGATGACTCCGGAGACTGGAACATATCGCTGGATGGCTCCGTAAGATTTTACATTCTTTGGCTGCAATATATTTTTCTGTGTCGATGGTCCTTTTCTATTTGTTCTTTTGCTTTATGTGTTTAACTTTCTAATATATTCTCTGACACAAACCTTGCTGCTGGTTTTGCATATAGATCGATTTCTTTCTTTGAATGTGCCCTCTTTGTTCATTTCATTTGTCTAAATTTTTTCCATTCTCTTGATTGTTAGCTTCTTGTTGTCTAATTCAGTTTCTAATTCTAAGCACGGTGCAACTGCAGTGTCTTCTTTTTCCTTTCCCTTTTTTCTTTCTTGTCTTTTCTTGTTTCTTTTTCCCTCCTTCTTTGGCTATTATTTCCTTTGTCCAAACAACCGATTTTTTTATGTTATCTTGGTCATTTCTAAGGATACGACATATCCAATGCCTATTAATTACCTTGAAATTCTTCCATGTACTCCGTACTTTTTGGCCTCTGTTAATTGGAAAAAAAAAAATCACTTGTCTGAATTTAGGATTATGCATTTCCACATAAGAGTAATTGGCGCAGATGGTTCCTAAACTATCTAATAGGTGACAATTTGATCCCTATTCTTTTAATCTTGACAAACCAATCCCCAAACTCCTTGATCATTGGCAATTTAAACCTTTCCGTTAATTTTTTTTAGCAGAATTCATCACATGACTTATCACGTGACTTTTTTCTATGAAAAGACTAAAATGCCCTTCTCTCAAGCCATTGATGAAAGTCCCGGTATAGAACAATCCCAACCATGAAATTATCCTTCAATTCAACTCCTCAATCAATTCTCAGCAAAAAACTCCTCAATCAAGTTTCTTCCAATGAGCTACAAAGAGAACCGAGAAAAGCATTAGTGCATAGGTATGTATTGTGATATTACCAATATAAAACTCAGGCATTTCAATTGCAGATTGATATTAAGAAGCCCAGAAACTCACGAATGAAGAAAGGAAAAAGGAAAAAGGAAAAAAAAAAAAAAAAAAGGATTTTAGCTGCTTTGAATTTGATTATGGCTGTGCTGATTTTTAAGTTTTAACCTTTACAAAAGCTATCTGCTGCATAACTGGTTGTACAGAATGACGAGTGCAACATTTGAATTAAAATGCGCCTGATTCTATCTCTAAGTTATGCATTCTTGTATTTTGCATTAGTTCCTTATGTTTACTTTAGAAGATTTGTTGGTGAATTATCTCTTTTGCAATCTCAATCATTTCAATGCAGTGATTGTATTTCTTTCTTCCCTTTTTTTGTTTTTTTTTTGGTGGGTTAATTTGGCTCTGCAGTGAGATGATCCAGCACAGGCCATACACGCAGAAAGTGGATGTTTATAGCTTTGGAATAGTTCTTTGGGAACTTATTACCGGAATGCTCCCATTTCAGAACATGACAGCGGTGCAGGCAGCGTTTGCGGTCGTCAATAAGGGGGTCCGTCCCATTGTCCCCAATGATTGTTTACCAGTTCTGGGTGAGATCATGACTCGATGCTGGGATGCCAACTCTGATGTCAGACCACCCTTCACCGAGGTCGTGAGAATGCTCGAGAACGCAGAAACTGAGATCATGACAACCGTGCGGAAGGCTCGTTTCAGGTGTTGCATGACCCAACCCATGACAGCAGACTGACCCTCCCACGAAAATTGGAGAAAAGAGAAGAGTGACATGAAAAAGAAAGACAAAAGAAGAAGGCCATTCATAGTGTTGTAGCTTTTGTGTATTTATTATCAGGTTAATTTTCTTTCTTGCTTAAGATAGAAAAGAAGAAAAGGGAAAAAGTAAAATGGTGATGATAAGAGTATTTGGTTGTAAGTCGGGTATTGTGTTATGAAATAGGTTTCGCCTTTCGGTTGATGAGTCAGTAAAATAGGATGTGTATCTATCCATACATATACATTCACTCTCATGATATGTATTATTAACCTTCCTTTGTTTAGCTCTGTTGTATTTGACAAAATTGCCAAGTTTGTTTTGTTTTCTCTCCTTCCATCAGATTCAAGTGTATGTCAAACATTCCAGAGAGGAAAAAATATATATATATGTATGTCCAAAACTATGCGGTTTGCCTAAAATATTTAGTTAATTCCATTGAGTTCTTAACCTTTTTTTTTAGAGGGAATGGCAAGGGTTCAATTATGTCATTTGAGGTTCAAATGGTTGATTCCATTGAGTTTTTAATGACTTTTGCGATAAGAGTGGTCAAACGTGGGACAAGAAACATTATAATAGCTTTACGGTGCATTCGGTAACATTTTGGAGTTGGGGAAAATGGGATAATAAGCATAATTTAGAGGCCAAAAATAAAATTAGCCTAATCATTATGATTTTTTTTTGGGGTGAATACTTAATTATTAGTTACTTTTTCTGCTGAGTAATTATGAATCAGTTGTTACAATGAGGTGACACTTTTTAAATTATTAGGTTCGAATGACCGCAAAAAAAACAAAAAAAAATTAATAAATAAAGATAAAGATAATGCAAATGAAATTGAAGCATACTTTATCATCATCCGGTTCGTTCATTTCAGAGAAAGAATCATTCAATTTTTTAAAAATTTAGACACAAACCTTATTTTTTCTTTTTCTACACTCACATCTGTTCATAATGTTAATGTTAGTTCATCATTGGCACTTGGCACGGGCAGCGTAGAATTCTCATCTCATCTCTCTTCTGCTTATAAATTTTGTTGAGAGTTTTACTTTCTCCGAGACCCACAAAACAAAATATGATCAACTGAAACAGAAACCTATGGTTTTTGTTTTAATTTATTATTATTATTATTTTCTCAATTCTGGAACTAATAGCATATATATGTATGTATATAGTATTACTACGTAGGTAAGTGAGAGTGAGGGAGGGACGGAGTTGTATGAATATAATTGATTGATTGATTGATTGATGATGAAGAAGTTGGAGTTTGCAAATAATTCTTGCAAAGTTGTTAGTTCATCAGCATCAAGATGGTTGGGTTTTAGAAACTTGCAGTTGACATCTTCGCAAGATGATAACATCAGATCCACCCGAACCCAGCTCTCTTCCTCAGCAAACTCCAGGGTAACTTCAACTTTTGTTTATAACTTTGGAATTGGAATATTAAATTCAAGTTTAAAGAAAAATTGCAGTTGCAGGTGGGAGTAGGAAGGGGCAAAGGGGAAGGAATTGTGTGGCCGTCTCCAAATGATGAAATCCCATTTTGGAAGAAGGAGTTGGCTTTGCCAAGTTGGGATGTGAAGCCAGAAATAGTAGAGGAGGATGAGCAGCTCATCCACATAACTCATGTCACGGCGGAAATGGCACCAATTGCCAAAGTTGGAGGCCTTGGCGATGTTGTTACCGGACTCGCTCGGGCCTGCTTATCACGCGGCCACACCGTCCACGTAATGCTCCCTTTCTATCAGTGCATTCCCAAGCATCACGTCAATGACTTGACCTTAATCACCACATACGACTCTTTCCACCACGGATCTTGGGTCCAAACTAATGCGTATCGCGGCCTAGTATCTGGGATTCCGGTCATATTCATCGACCCCTCCAACCATTTCTTTAAGGGCCAAAATGTGTATGGGGGTTCATACAATGAGCTAGAGGCCTATTTGTTCTTTTCCCGCGCTTGCCTTGAATGGATGCAGGTTTCTTTTTCTTTTTTCTTTGATTGACAATTTTAAAGAAATAGAAACAACTAAACAACGTTGTTAATTATTCTGCAATTTTTTTACCTCATGTTTTGTCAGGTAACTGGAAGCCAGCCTGATATAATTCATGTCCATGAATGGCAGACAGGTGCTTTGCCCTTGCTTTATTGGGATATCTATCATCATCTTTCCCTCAAGGTATCTCCTTTTATGTTTTTATTTTTATTTTTTATTTTTGCGAATTTTCGGGTGCATTCTGTTGACGTTGTATTTTCCTCGTGTTAACTTTGGTAGAAACCAAGAATAGTGCTAACTATCCACAACATGGAGCACTATGGTGAGTGTAGGTAAGTAAATGTTTCTCTCCGCTTTTGACTTCTCATGGCAACAATCTAGGACCTTATCTGGCACGCTAATATGCCGGTGAGCCAGGTTTTATGTTTGTCAGATCCGCATAAAATCATGTAAAAGTAAAAAAAGTATACGTATCTAATGATTAGAAAAACCTGGCCTACTGATACGCCAGGCGTATTAGAGAATTTCCTATTCTTTTAATAAGAAACTTTATCAAGTACCTTTTTTTCCAAGCAATTATCAGCTAGGTTACCTGTCTTTGGTATTTGAAAAGTCTAATGAAAAAATATTCTTTGTTTGGGTACATCCAATCCAACGTTTAAATTGACGGAATCATTTCAATAAACGTATACAAGCAAGGAGGAGGAGGAGGAATTAAGCACAACAGAATTGCTGAACCATTTTCTTTAATTTATCATTGAACTCCTCCTCCACATGCATATTTATTGTTTATATTGGCAGCAAAGAGCAACTAAGCAAGTGTGGTCTTGATGGATCTGTATACGCAACTATAGACAAGGTGAGATTCGTTCGCTGCTATAAAGGTGATTGCAGTTTATATTATATGTCCATTTTGTTTGTCTTTGTAAAACTGAGCATCTCTCGTGCACCTCTTATTCTTAACATGGAAGGCGGTTGATGATCGAACCATTGGCCATAATCCCGAGAGGTTGAGCCTGTTGAAAGGTGGAATTGTGTACAGCAATGCTGTTGTGTAAGTGGCGTCATCTTGTTGTTCTTGCATCCGTAACCATAATAGCTTTATTAATCGTGCTTAGTGGCATCTGTTTCGGCAACAGTGATTCTTTTCTCGTTTTCAGGACCGTCTCCCCAACCTATCTCAAGGAAACTCTGTGCTCTGGGTGGCTTTCAAGCACTTTGGTCGAACACCGGCACAAGTAAGAAATGAGTTTCTTTTTTTATTTAGATTTACTAGCTGCTGCTGTAGCGAGTGCACATTGCTTTGTGGCTTTTTTCTTTCTTTGGATCCTTTCTTTTCTTCTCAACGTATTATGGTGCTTGTAGTTCTTTCTTTGGATGTTCAGTGTATCCATCTAGCTCCATTTTACGTTGTTTTCTAAGTGTACATTCAAGGCCGCTCATTGTTCTTTGTCCACCATGGCAATCTCTATTACGGGGCATTGTAGGTACTTTGGCATACTAAATGGGATAGACACTGCAATGTGGAACCCTTCCTTTGATTTTTTCTTGCCTGCTAAGTTCCATGGTAGGACTGCATAACTCCTCCCTCATATTAAACTAGCACTCTTTTCCATGTGTCTAGTCGGTCCTTAGTCCTCTGCTCCTCATCCTTGATCTATTCTTCTGCAGCTCAGAATGTTGAAGGGAAGAGATCATGCAAGTACTTTGTCCAGAAGGGCTTGGGTTTGGCCACGGGTGAACATGTATTGGATTCGACAACCAACATTCCCTTGGTTGTTTGTATCACGCGATTAGTTGCACAGAAAGGTCTTCATTTAATTACTCGTGCGATTAAGCGCGTTGAAGAACTTGTAAGTTTGCTATTGATATTAAATCAGAATAACATCTGCAAGGTAACTGAACGTTTTGATACTAATTTTGGAATGGATGAGTTGCAAGTTCTTTGTCTTCACAATCAAATAATTAGTTAATCTATACTTGCCATCACACACTAGGTGCAAACATTAATATATATACTTTCTTCTCAAAAATTTTGACCCGTTTTTTTTTTTTTTTTAAAGGGTGGACAGATGATTGTACTGGGAAAAGCTCCAGAAGGTCACATTCAAAGAGAATTTGAAGGTCTTGCAAATTTGGTAATAGATTTTGGGAGTTTTTATCTTTTCTAGTGTGTGTGAGTTTTATTACGTCTTCAAGCAAGCTGACAGACATTCATGGTTTTGCTCCCAATTTGCAGCATAATCAAGGTCCGAGCATTCGAATCTTATTGATGTATAGGTAAATGGTCTTTGAATACCATGCAATTTTCACTCCACAAATATGTTTGAGATCTTTATTCTTGCTATTTTAGCAGTGAAAACTTTTCCTTCTACTTGCAAATATGTTTTGAGATTTTATCATATTCTACTTGCATTTAGTGATTATTATTTGCTAACTAAAAAAGTTGATTGATGTGCTTTTATGTGTTTGTGTGTGGGAGTGGAGTGAGGAGCTGTCTCACATGCTTTATGCAGCAGCAGACATGGTGTTAGTTCCATCCATGTATGAACCATGTGGCCTTTCACAAATGCTTGGCATGCGTTACGGAGCGGTATGTGCTTCTATCTTTACTACTACTATTTACGGAGTCTTTCGATCAACTAAAGTCATTTCGGAATCTTGCAATCAACTAAAGTAATTTTGATTAAATGTGAAATTAAATGTGTGTTTTAGGTCCCAGTGGTTAGAAAAACTGGTGGTCTTGCAGACACAGTCTTTGACATGGACGATCACCAAAACCAAGAAATGGCCAACGGGTATGTATTTTCTTTTTTATTTTTTTCATGATGATTTACTAAAAGATCTATCTATCTGGGACAATCTAGTGCTGAATGATTGATCAGCACATGTTCAATGCTTTTCAATTCGTTCATAGTTCATACATTTGATTTTTCTGTGGTATGTTCCTTGTGACAAATCCACTTGAGTTTGTTCAACTGATAAAGCTTAATATCTTTTGTCTTCAATTTTGAGTTTTGTTAGAGCTATCAAGTATTATTTCTTGTTTAGGTTTGTTTTTGAAGGAATTGATGAAGCGTCTCTAGACGGAGCTTTGGATCGTGCATTTTCTTATTTTAAAGACAGTAAGTCTCAGTTTTCATCATCTTCCTCGCAAAAAAAAAAAAAAAACTGGAGTAATGTTATTGTTACATATGCTGCTTTTAATATTACATATAATCAACCCCTTGGAACTTGGGAAGAAATTACATCACATTCCTTTTGACACGAAATTAAGGAAACGAAATTATTAATGTCAACACTCTTTTGTCATACTTATGAATTGTGTTTGGAACAGAACCAGATGAATGGAAAAATGTAGTGAGAAAGCTAATGGAGATTGACAATAGCTGGAACAATACAGCAGGGAAATACATTGAGGTTTATGATTCCGTCAGAGCAAGATACTACTGATTGGGAGGTTACACCTCGTCTTCTGCTGTAGATGAAGATGAAATGAAAATGAAGATCTTTTGGCTTTTCTTTCCTTTTCCTAGCTTGGAATTTGATAATAATGTACATAACTACTTGAAAATGAAAATGAAAATGAAGATCTTTTGGCTTTTCTTTCCTTTTCCTAGCTTGGAATTTGATAATAATGTACATATCTACTTAATAATATTTTTGGTCTGATGCGGTACGAATTTAATTTGATGGATCATCAGAGAATCGATTATGATTAAGTCCATACTCCTAGCCCTAGCTCACATTCCCATTTTCATTTTGGTCACAACAGAACATCAATATCCAAAGACTAATTCCAATTCCATTTAGTAAGAGAGAACCAAGAGGGATCTTGAGGTTGCATATTAATATTATTATTTATTATTATTATTATTTTTGATAATTTGTGCATATTAATATTATTATCTGCAATGGAAACTGACTTTAAAAAAAAAAAAAAAGTAACCGGGGGGTTAAAATGCAATTTATAAACTTCATACTGTGATAATTTCGCAGCAGCACAGCACTAGCTTGAAAAGAGGCAAAAGTAGTAACGCATGAAGAGCTTTTAAATTTCAATAACAATACACAATTTTTGAATTTCTTTCTTTATTAATTTGCCTCTAATCCCAAAGGTAACTTTACAAATCCCTTCATTCCTTCCCACCTGCAGAAAACCAGTAAAGAATTCTAACAAAACCACTTTCAGGTATTAGGCACAGTGTACAGATTCCCCTCCACCAATCCTCCACTTAACTACTTCAACCAACACCTAAAACCATCTTACCTTAAATCGGAACAAAAAAAAAAAAAAAGATATTCAAAGAAGATTGAAAACAAGATGAGTATGTCAAGATATCAACACAGTCTCTCCTTGGCGAGCATGACTGCAATACCACCTAACTGCACCGAAAACCGACCACTTAGAGAAATAAGAAAGAAAAATAATAAAAAAAAGGGGTCAGATTCCGTAGCCCGACCGCCCGAGATGCCCAAAACACCATCTCAATGTGGTCAGCTGATTGAAGAATTCAGGAATTCAACAAAGGTAAGACTAGTCCACCATCTAAACAGTTGCCTCCTTATCAACAGATTCCTCTCCCAAAACAGCTGCTACAACTTTGTCGCCCTCTTCTGCTCCCGAGCCTTGAGATAAGGTACCAGACATTTGGTTTAGAGATTCATGTTCAAAAGACGCTTGGGTATCTTTTCTTGAATTAACACTGAGTTCGGACGATCCCGCTTTGTCACTACCGTCTTTCAAATTCAAGGTTAACCCAAAAGTACTAGACATCTCATGCACCAACTTATTAGCAGCATCTACAGTTGACAAAACTTGTGGCTGTTTGGCCTTCCTTTCCTTAAAGGATTTTTCCCGGTCGTCGTAAAAGGTAAAATCATCTAACATAGATGTCCGCGAATCATGATCCTTGAAAATTTTCAACATCTCAACACCTTGTTTCAATCCTACCTGATTTACAATTCAGCAGCAATAAAGAGAATGTAAAACTCCTGTAACATATAAAATTACTAAAAGAACCAGAGCAAGATAAGAGAAACTTGCAACAAATTGATCCTGATATAGCTACCGCGTCATTTCAATGCAAATGTATGGACACCAAAATATTAGTTGGATGCGGTAAGAACATGGATATATATAATTGCAACATAAACAATTTTTTTGAAGAAAGACAGAAAACAAAGTTGATTCAAGGAATTAATCTGTTATTCGAAATATCAATGCCATTCATAAGCAGGTAAAAAAAAAAAAAGTATAGGAGAGTGCAGTTACCTCCTGAGAATCTCTACTGTGAGTAACAGGCTTGTTGTCATTGTTATCGAGTAGAATATGGCGGAATCGGATGTTTGGAACATCCTTAACAACATGCCATTTAACTGGGAATTGCCCGTTCCATCTATCTTGCTGCCAGTAATCTGCATTCTTCTCAAAATCAACTGGTCCAACCATTTCAGCTACCCCACAAAACTGTCCACTTGCATTAACCTGTTGCGACCAACCAAATCTAAGAGGACTTACAAGCTAATTAAAAAACATGTAATTTACACCACATCACTAACAGTTTTGAGGTTACTTTTTCCAGAAGGAACAAGATTCTTATTTAAGTACTTGTTGTATGATACTCTTCATAAATACACCTTTTATCGAATAAACTGAAAATGCAAACAAGCACACTAGAACTCCTACAGAGAAAGAGAAAGACAAATTCTATTTTCCGAATTAAACAACAAATGCTAAGTGATGATGATCTTCTCAATAGAAAACCGTATCTTACTCATTGCCTCAATCCATTTCATGAACTTAAGAAACAAGGGAAAAATTACTTGGAGTTGTTAAAGGTACGTACTGAAAAAAACAGGAAGATCGGGCAGTTTGGTTGTATCTCCTTTGCCTCTTGATAAGCAGCATCAAGCTTCTTGTTTCCGTGTGGTGTGCTTGCCCAAATATTGTATTTGATACTCTTATGAACATTGTCTTCACTGAAAGACTTGATGATGAAGAACTTCGCATTCTCATAATCCGTAAAAAAATCTGGCCGGTTGTACGCATCGAGAAGAATTCCAGAAGCAGATGAGTTGTTTCTGCTAGCACCAGTTGAAGAGCCCTGTTCAGTGCCACTCTTACCCTTCAGCTTTGAAGCCCTTGGTCCTCGATTACGATCATTAAAGATATCACGTGAATCATTAGAAACACTAATCGAGTCTTGGTCCCTATCTCTTCTTCTGCCTTTGTCAAGTGTTAGATGATTCATATCACTAGCAACTGAGTATGAAAACGAAGCACCTCCAAAGCTAGAATTCTGACTTGTATGAGGATAGTGTGGACCGGACATTAATCCAAATCCATGGGTGGGACTATGTTGTTGAGAAATCTGAAAATTGTAAAATATATCAATGTTTAAGAGAAAAACATACACACACACACACACAGACAGCCATATCAACAGTGTGAAGTCAGGAAAATGGTTTGACTTTTGAGTAATCCAAGAAAAGGTACTTTTTGCTACATTTGATTGATTACATAGCTCTAGGTACTAGCCTCTTACATTAAACAGGATTTTCAAAAATACTTTATTACAGTAATGTTGCAAAAAGGTTTCGATTTATTTATTTATTTTGGTTAGGAACACAGAAAACTTCATCAAAACCTTACAGAAAAAGTTCAAGGATTATACGAGGGGCCCAATCCAAGAAAGAAAATATCACCAAAGAGGGGTCCAGAAAAGTGTGACGTTTTAAATGTTATTGAGCCTTATGGCCCGAAACTTGGTTCTTACGGTGAAGAAAACCAGAAAGTGGTAGACTCTCAAACGATAAAACAATGCAAAATAAAAATAAAAGTACCATAGAACATTAATATTCAAATTTAACGAAAACAAACCTGCCCAAAATTATTCTCGTAAGGCCCAAGAATGCCCATTGGTTGGGGATAAACTGTTGGAGATGTCAGAGGACTAGAATTAAGATTCCCAGAGAGGTTTCCTCCACCTAATGATCCAAAGTTTACTAAGTAACCTGATCCTGGCCCAAAAAATATGTTATCGATATTACTACTTTCGGGTGTCATCAGCTCGGTCGGCGGAACCTGAAAAGCCGAAGAAATATGAGCCATATTTGGAGGAGCTGATTGGGGGTAGAAAGATGTAGAAAATGGGAGTTGCTGCGGAGAGTATAGTTGGCCATCCATCATAAGAGGTGGCAAAGGTGTAGCAACTGGAGAATATTGTCCATATGCAATTTCAGGATTGAAGCCATAACCAGAATGGAAGACGAGGGACTGATTATCATTGTAGATGAACTATCACAAATAAAAGTTGAAAAAAATGTAAGCTTAAAAGTTAAAAAAGAAAATAAAGTTTAAAAAAAAAAAAAACCACTAAACAATGCATAACTGAAGGACTTAATCCTCACCGGTGATACAACAGGCAAGCCATCAGCATTCAGATACTGTGAATATCCATTCCAAGTACCGGTGCTACTGCCATAAGCCGAACCACCTAAAGTTTTGTGATTGTGTAAGAACATACCAGAACCAAAAGCATCTTTTCAAAATTCATATCTAAATCCAAGCATTATTCTCACTCACGTCATAAGTAAAAACAGTAGCGTATCAAACACAGTTCTTGCAACCAAACCTTCAAATCTCCTTTTTTTTAATAAGCATCAAATTGTATTAATAATAAAATGAAAAGTAAATCTTCAAATCTCTTTTAGATAGAAGCGAGGATAATATGAAAGAAGTTATGTATTCACAGATAAATAAAACTATTATAGACTTTTCTTTCCGTTAACTTCCGCAATAACTAAAAGCAGCAGATGCTTAAGAAACTAACCAGCATATGAAAGTGAAACAGTGCTATTTGTGAGAAACAAAAGCTTTAAGAGGATGAGAAATGCTATAGTCCTCACCCGCATCAAGAAAATCGGGTTGTCCCGTGACATTGCGCGAAGGCCCTACAATGGCTGCATCCGAAGAATTCGCTGAAACAATCCTTCCATCTTTGGTGGGAGAAAGTGGCTGATAATAAATTCAGAGAGTGAATGAATGAAGTGTTAGTGGCGCACAGTTTCTAAAACTAGTTATAACAGATAAAAACTGAAACAATGTCCAATAGAGAAATTTACAACTGCGTACCTGCTCGGTCAAGCCATCGGGATTAACGGGTCTTTCTCCTAAAACAAGAAGGAACCGGTAATAATATACAGTGTCAAAAGAGAAAGAAAAACAAACGCAAACATGAGAACGGAATGAGAACTTGAGGAGATGCATATAGAGAAGGGGATTTAGGATTTATGGCTAACTAAATTTGATAATGTTTTTGTCTCCTCCATCTACATGACTACATCTAAGTTAGTTCTTTACCCATATAAAACCCCAAAACAGCAGAGCCCTAGAACCGGGGGGGGGGGGGGAAAGGCCCTAGAAAAGAAAGACATGAATTTTCTTCCTTTTTCCCCCCCTGAAAATCTCTTCTTATCTAGTATTATTCTGGAAAGAAAAGAATGCAGGTTGATAAAGCCAACTAAAGTTGCATTTGACCCAAATCAGAAATTGGTGTTTCTCACGAAAACACATAATAAAATTATTATGTACCCAAGTTAAACAGAAATTTCAACATAAAGAAAGAGAAAAAAAAGAAGAAATGCAAATCAATAAGGAATAACGAAAAACAAAGATTGATTTTATTTTTTTTTTCATTTTTGGTTGGGGGGCAGAAGGAGAAAAGAAAATCGAAATGAGAGAGAGGGAGAGAGAGAGAGAGAGAGAGAGGGAGAGAGAGAAAGAAGAGACAAAAGAAAGCGTACCAGAGGCGGAGGAGGCCACTCGATCTCGGTCGTCGCGAGAAGCGTCCATTGAATCGGAAATGGAATGGAATGGAATTCAGATCCAAATTCAATTCTCTCAAAATAAACCCCCAAAATTTATCAAATCTTATTGAAATTCCACACCAAACAAACAAACAAACAAAAACGCAAAGAGAAGAGAGAGAAGTTTTGGAAATTGTAAGGAGAGAGACACAGAGAGAGAAATAATAAGGGTTTTAGGTTTTACACATTCATTTCTTGTAATATGTATGTATATCAGTGTGTTTGTATATTTACCCAATTTATATTATTATAATGATATATAGTATTATTGAGTTTAATAATAATTAAATAGGAAAACGAAAAAGAAAAGGCAGTATCTGCATTTAATGTAACACAAGACAAGATCTATGGTGTGGAGAAGGTAAAAGCCTGTTTTGGTCCGCATTATCAATGATATCCAATATTTATTACTCTTGTAATCTCGAATTAGATTGTCTCTTTTTTTTATTTTTCCTTTTCTTTAACGAAGAAATTTATTTGAAATTTGGATATACAGCTGCTTTTGTCCGAACAGAAAACGTTACCGCAAATCATACAGGGAAAAATAAAAAATAAAAAAGAAAGAAAGAAAGAAAAAATTGAAATTCGGGTAATCACGTTTTCTTCTATTTCTTTTTCTTTCTTATTCTTAAGGCATATTTAACCTCTTTTCCTCTTTTATTTTAAATTATTGTTTAACCACGTTTTTTTTATTTTTTTATTTTTTTGAGGAATTTGATTATTTGATTTGAACATTAATATGATTTTTTTTCCAAGTTTTAGAGCCGTGTTTTATACTTTTATTATCTTAGTTTGCTTGATTACATGTCATTATTATTAACTCACTTCAGAATAAATTAAGATATCGTTTATTTTACCGATTTGAGTTTAGAATTTGAGTTTTAATACAGTAAAAAATTTTAAAAAATAATCACATCTAACTTTTTTATTCTGATAAAAAACTCTCACATAAAGTCATATATCAACTCAAATTAAAAACTCAAATCAGCAAAAAAACGGACCCCAAAAATCTAAAAAAAAAAAAAAAAACACTACGGAGTAGAAGATATCACCCTAAAATTTATGGGCTCTATACGAGGAAAAAAAAAAGAAAAGAATTGAAAAGTTTAAACACATATATAAATAAATAATTTATATAATAAACTGTTTTACAACAGAATATTACGATTTTAAGGTGGAGTGAACAAAATGGCATCGTCAACAAAACCAATCCATAAATGATAAAGCTACTCTAAATTGTAATTATATTGTAATTGAAGAAAGAATGGCATGAATAATATTTTGACTGTATAAGCAGCAGCAGCAGGAGTCCTAGTGACGCGTCATTTCCCGGAATAGGTTGGCAACTTTTGGCGACAGTCTCGGAAGGAATTTAAACAACTGTTCACCCCAAAAAACAAAACACCTATTTATTAAACATACATTCTCTACAATAATAAAGAAATACAAGATAAGAATAAGAATGAATAATGGAACAAACCCATAGTTTGACGCATGCGTCGATGATAACCGGAACGAGGCAGATGAAAATGGTGATGACAGACTGATCAACCTCGAACCCGTAATGTTCGACTAAAACCTCTACCAGCGTCTGCCATCCTGATTCAGAGTGGTACCTGCACCATCCATCCAAAATCCACATTTTGTGTTTTCCTTAAATACTATTCAATCTCTCTCTCTCTCTCTCTATATCCAAATAAGAACACGCCACATTACCCCAGAAAAATATCTGTGATGAGAATGATTAGAAATGCCTTGCCAGTATCTGAAATATTGTTTATTATCTTATAACCTGTGAATTTCAGCAAAGCGACCTGCAATTGCAAAGCAGTCCAAGAACAAGTAGTTTTTAAGGCATACATTCCTAAAACAACCAATGACTGCTAATTATAAAATAAATTGATAAGAAGAGGCAAAATTACTTACGGTAAAAAATTAACTCACTCACCTTGGTCTGATTCAAGTACAAAAGAATGAATAAGGAGACCCCGAATACCATATCCGACCATATGTTTGCAAAAGCGCTACGGTTATGCAACCTCCACTCCTCCCTCAACTCTAATCTGTGTCATTTAAATGGCACCAACCCAATTAGTGAGAATAGCATTAGCATAGCAAAGCAGAGGTTTTTGCTGCGCTGCTATATATGAAATTGAATTCTGGAAAGAAAAATCCAGTTTCAAAACGGCAAGACCAACACAAACGAAAAGAAGGATTGCTCAAAACATATGTGAATCAATCTAACAATTAAGCCTTGATGACAGCTACTCATTCATCACAAGTGCTGTTGCAGTTTTACAATGATAAAAAGTACTTGTATATCCATCCAAGTCTACCTGCAGCCACTAAGTATACTATACTATACTATACTGTACTGTACTATACTATACTATTCTGTTCTATTCTGTTCTATTCTATACTATACTACATCCAAGGAATATTGAGAAAAATCCTGTGTGCAACTAAACTCATAAACCATTTAAGGACATGTGGGCACATTAGTTTCCAGGCTCACATGAAATGAGATCCTACCACTCAATACTCAATAGTATAGTATGTAAAGGGCTATTCTTAACTTGTTCTTCTTATGCATAAAAAAATTGCTTGTTTCTCAAAATTAGAGGCTTACGCTTTATCACGTAGTTCCCACCAAGCTTGGTCGTCAGAAAGAGGTGGAGATTTTCCGATCTCGACCTCCAAGCGAAGTCTAGCTTTCTCCATCTTAAGTTCCTCGATGATTTCGAGTTTTTGAGGTCTTCTCACGTCAAGCATCTGCGCTGCCAGCGGCACGGTCTTCACATATCTGTTTTATTTCAGTGTTTGTTGACAATCAATCAATTGTAATTAAGCATGAAGATGTGATGATGAAAAAATAATGAAGTGGAATGTGAAGAAAGTAGTAGTAAGTTACCTGTCTAGAAAAGGCATGAGAAGATAGTCATGGACCAAAAAATCCAAGGCACAGGGCACAATTATCAACACTGCCAAAAATTTTGCCTGCAACAGAGAGAAAAAAATATAAACAAATTTGGTAATTCATATATATATATATATTATCTATTTGGTGGGAAAGAGAAAGGGGAAGAGAGACGGACGGAATTGGTAGAAGCATAGCGAAAAACTCGGTCCTCATAGAGCAAATCATCGTCGTCGTCATTGCCAAGAACCAAATTCCTAAGAGATCGAACCAAGGATCCGTCTTGGTCTTGAGGAAAAGGATAACCATCATTAGTATTGTTATTAATAAGTTGGGTGTCGGAATCCCAGTCAGATTGAGATTGAGGATTATCAGGAGAAGGAATTAGCCAATCCTCCCAAGAGCGGGACTCTTCATTAGTCAAATCATCCTGAGCTTCTCTCAACTCGGTTATGGCTTCAGCCCTCCTCTTCCACGCCTCGAACTTCTCATCTTCCGACATTACCCTTTCTGAATCCCGATCCACCTCCTCCTCCTCCTCCTGCTCATTATTATCGTTATTATCAGTAGTTAATCAAAAAGTTAAATCATCATCATTATTATTATCATTGTTGTTGTTTAACTAAAGCAAACATTAATAACAACAACAACAACAACAACAACAAGAATAACAAAAGAAAGAAAGAACCTGGAGTTGTTCCGTGCCGTGGTCGTTGAAGCCAAGCCAATTGCAATCTTCATCGAAAAAGAACTTCTGCCACCAACTGCGATGCTTTCTGCCGGAATCAGAGGAAGAGTTGGGGATTATTAAGGCAGCCAGTCTCCTATTCCTCTTGTTGGAGTTGGAGCAACAGAAACGAGAAGGAGGAGGAGGAGGAGGAGAAGAAGACGACTCCTTATTGTAGTTGGTTGGTAAGAGCAGCTGCTGCAGCATTGAGGAGGAAGTTGTAGTGGTGATTAACAACATTACTCCTCCTCCACATCTTCTCCTCCTCTTAAACTACCAAATAATTTTTGCTATTATTCTTCTTCTGCTCTCCAATTCCAATTCCAATTCTTCTTCTTCTTCTTCTGCTAATAATAATAATAATAATGCAAATAATAATAGCAATTCTCCCTTCCCTTGCGCCTTCTCATCTCTTTTTATTCTCTCTATCCAAAGAAAATAACACAGAGAGAAAGCAGAGCAGGGCAGTAGCTTAACCTCGAAGACGAAGACGAGATTGAGAAAATGAGAAAAGGCAAAGGCCGGAGGAGCTGTCCGTTGTCGAACAACTCTCCCCACCGGATGGATAACGATTTTATATAGAAAAATCTAAATTTGGTAACGTCTTGTTATCTTGTATTTTTCCATTCCCTTATCCTCTTCTTCCACCTTCTTTTTCTTTTTCTCTTTCTTTTTCTTTTCTATTAGCCTAGGTTTTTTTTCATTTTAATTTTAATTAAGATGATTTTTTTTCTTTACGTTGACAATAAAAAAAAATGAATAAAATTTTACCTATATTTCTTATTAAAATTTTCTATCACTATTAAGTTTTTATTAAAATACTATCTAAATACAAATTCAAATTTTGACTCACTCAAATACAAACTTAAAAAGATTATTATCTCAACTATAACACAAATGTACACAACTAAACACAAACTCAAATTATAATTTTAACTCAAGTTATAACTCAAACTCAACTTAAGATATTCACTCAAAAATGCCTAACTCAAAAATATAAAAAAACAACCCTTTGATGTTTGAATCACACACCAAAATTATAGCAATCTCTCTCTCTCTCTCTTTTTTAATGTAGTTTTTGGGTTTTTTTTATTGATGTTTTATTAAGTTGGACATTTCAATTATTTTAGTGAAAAAGATGGTCACAATAAGTCATGTGCATATTTCTGTTAGAAATTTGACATATGTAAACAGAAAAGATTTAATTGTACTAATTTAATAATATTGTGAATTATTTTATTAAAATTAAAAGAATATACATTAAACTGTCACAAGTTAAACTGATCTTTAATAATTAGCTGTGTCATTTACTTTTTTTTATTATTTTTTATTAGGAAAACAGTAGGGGCCAATACTTTCCCTCTACAATAAGGTACGTATAAGAACCAAAAACCATTATATTTGAGTTTTAACCGTAGAAACAGATGAAGGAGGAGTGCCAAATTAAAATAAAACCTCATCACCGGCGAACTTGTCCACCACCTTTGACGAGCTCCTCATCACAAACACTTTAGTGACAAAGTAGTTTTTAGATTCACTTTGCCATGGAAAACAATGACAATAAAAGCATTTTATTTTCAAACTAACTTCATTTTATTTTCCCCATCTGGATCACTACAACAAACACATATACAAAACATTTTTTCAATGCGCAAAATCAACAAAATTAAGTTGAACAATACAAACAAAATGGGTAATCAATCAAATTAAAAACAAAGTGGCGAAGCATGTTTGTAGTACAACTTTCTCAGCTTTTACGCAAAATTTGATCTTTCTCTAGCTAACGAAGCCTGAAAACATCTTCGTTTTTTGCCACATCTTCTACACAATATTGATTCAAATAGATGAAGCGATATATCCCTTTGTTTTTTGCCATTCTTCCATAAACCACCTTCTTCGTCATTTTCTCCGCCAAACGACACCAACAAATTGTGCACTTAGCCCATCCCATACACTTGCCCCAATAGTGCTACCCACCTTGGACGAGCCCACGCGTCTAACGTTTTCTTAGAGAAAAAAAAAATACAAAAGAGTATATAAGTTTAAATTTTTACTTTTTATTATTAATTAATATCATTTTTAATCAAGTAATTATATCAATTAAAAGATATCAATAAAAAATAAATGATAAAATTAAGAGCACGTTTTCTTAGAGAAAAAAAAAATACAAAAGAGTATATAAGTTTAAATTAATATCATTTTTAATCAAGTAATTATATCAGTTAAAAGATATCAATAAAAAATAAATGATAAAATTCAGAGGCATGCACTATAAAAATAAGTTTAATAATTATCTCTTACCTTAATATACAAACTCCACCACCAACATGGCCTTCAGCTAACCCTCTAAAGGATCCTTAGGGACTCAAGCTTTGCGTCCCAATCTCTATGAGCATGTTTATTTTATGTATTTAAATTTATAGTTTTAATTTTACTATAACATTTTTCTTTTATAAAAAATTTAAATTTTAAATGTTAGAATTAATAATCACTAGTTAAACTAAACGAGATAATATTTTGTTTTCATTTTTGTTTCTTACTCTTTTTATTTTTTAAAAATTTTTAAATTTTAGTTTGTTTCTAAATTTTGAAGTGTAAGTGTTACTAATATAATTTTTAATTTTTTAAGACAAAAATAAATAAGTTTGAAGAAGAATAATAAAAAGAAAAAGAAAAGAAAATAAGAGTTGTTTAAATATGGGTTTTATTTATTATCCAAACTAATCTAGTTAGAAAATTAGAAAAGGAAAAGAAAAGAGAGGAGGAGAAAAGAGAATTAGGGTTTAAGGGCGGGGAAAGAAGAAGAAGAAGAAGAAGATGAAGCAGGTGGTGGGAGTGGTGGTGTCGAACAAAATGCAGAAGTCGGTGGTGGTGGCCGTCGACAGGCTCTTCCATCACTCGCTCTTCAATCGTTATGTCAAGCGCACTTCCAAGTTTATGGCTCACGACGAGCACAATCTCTGCAACATCGGCGATCGAGTCTGTTATTTTTTTTTTCTGTTTTATTATTATTATACAATTACACAATTAGGGTTTTAGGGTTAAGGTTTGTTCTTCAATTAACCATTTGGAAATTAAAATTGGCAGGTGAGATTGGACCCTTTTCGGCCTCTGAGCAAGCGCAAGCATTGGGTCGTCGCTGAGATTCTCAAGAAAGCTCGCATCTACGTCCCCAATAACAACTCTTCTTCTTCTTCAGCCTCCGTCGATGCCCGGCCTCCTCCGCCTTCTTCTTCCTCCTGATTCCTCAATCGCACCATCCCCCAATCTTATGGTACAGTTATCTAGTCTTTGCTAACTCTGTTAAATTCCCGTTTTCTTCTAAATAAATAAAAACCCATCTTTCCCTCCAAAATACTTACTTTCTTTCTCTAAATTATTCTATTCTGTGCTTCGATGCCCAATCTTATGGTACAGTTATCTAGTCTTTGCTTTCTCATCATTGTAAGCTTCGATGCCCAACTACAATGATTCAGTTAGAAACTTATTGTAACTGACAACAACATATTGATCGTACTTTCTTAGGATATTTATACAAATCTGATTTCTGATTCCTATTTGTGGCAGAAACTTTGTGCTGAAATACACTGCCGAAGAAGACATTGCATCTTTTACTCATCATATTCATAGGAGGAAGCAGATCCCAGGAATTCTTTGCAACACAACATGTTCATTTAAGGTCTGATGATCTGCTGCTGTATTGTAATTGTTGCGTTGTTCGAACAAGTTCATTGTTTTCAGCATTTCCTTTATTTGTATGGTCTAAAAGGATTTTTTTAAAATACTTGATCTTTATAAAGAGAAGGAGAGAAATTCCACATTTTATTTTCCCTTCAGATTTTTTTTTTTCCTTTCTCTCAGACGTTTCTTTAGTTGCTTTGCTATTTCATTAAACACTGTTTCCATATAAGCAGGCCGTGAATATCTTTTTGTTTTGATCTTTAGGGAGCCTATTTTGGTTGATTTCTCTCTTAACATGGAAAATCAAGAAAGAATAAGTCGAGCTTAGTTACACGTAGTAAAATACATTGATTCGTGTCTTGCCAATTGCTGTTCTATGCATTTGGATCTCCACATCTATGGCAAGCTGACCACGTGACAGTAATTCGACCGCCACGTGCGGCTCACAACATTGCGTGCCACCACCATGTTAGTTCCACCTGCTCCCTCCCTCGTAAACAAGCTGATTTTGTTTCCTGTGTTATCTATCTTGCTCCATAAATGACCCTTTACCAGTGATTTCTCCATCTCTTACCATTTTTGTCTTTTGAGAATTTGCTTGGTCAAACCTTCCTTTCCATGGATTTGGCCACAACTTCTATCCCCAAAAAGGTTCGTCGAGGAAGAACCTTTGGACCCTATAAGGGCGTTCGAATGAGGACTTGGGGTAAATGGGTGTCTGAAATAAGGGTTCCAAAATCTGGTGAAAGGATTTGGTTGGGCTCCTATGATGCCCCAGAAAAGGCAGCCCGGGCATATGACGCTGCACAATATTGTATTCGTGGTGAGCGGGGGAGTTTCAATTTTCCAGCTGATAAAAGGCCTGTGCTTCCCCAGGGCTCGATGGTTTCCTTGTCCAAAAAGGATATACAGGAAATCGCGACAAACTTTGCATCATTTGAATCGAATATATCAACTTCGTGTTCTTCTCTAGTCTCATCTGCAATGCCTCAGGTCCCACCGGATAATAATTCAGCTCCACCAAATATGCTGGTTTGTAGTGGCATGGATGGTGGTGCATATGAGTCGATCGGCAATTCATTCGCCTCAACAAGCGTAATAGGAGCAACCGCCTCTTCTCCCGAAAGTCTAGAATTGGATGATTTCCTCCTGCTGGACACAGAATGGATAGATGAACTTATTTAGGAGATTATTAAATGTATCTATATATATATATATATATATATATATATATATATATATATATATATATGCAGGTATATACGTGTGTATTTCCTTCCATTATGTAAATAAAGGCACATGTATTGTGCTAATTTGAAGTTTTATGTCCTTTTTAAGAAACCTCGTTGATATGGGAAGTTAATGAAACTTTTCTGCATCAACTGTGAATGGCAAGTTGGGGAAGTTGTGAAAAGGGAAAAGAAAAATAATTTTTTAAAGAGTTTAAAGAACTTGTTTGTGTATTATTAATCTTAGAACATGGATGTTTCTGATGGTTGTGTTTTCGGTTAGGAGTTATGTATTATGAAACTGTACCAACAGACAAAAGGAAAGACAAGATGGGCAAGAAGGTCATTAGGAATTACGATTGTTTAGCAGGAATTGAACATTCCTATGGAACACAACAGGCGCGTCTTACACCGAAATTTGCAAATGTTTGTATAGATTGAACAAAATGGTATTGGCACGTTTGCTAAAGCTGATTTTTGGTTCAATGTATGATCTGTAGCGTCATAATTTTTTCGACTGAACTGAATTTATAAGACTGCTTCAATACAAGTTTTCTTGGCTGTTCTCATTGCTAAAGCTGATGACTTGATATCTTCAAATTCGATTAGGTTAGGACTAGGGATTGCTACAATACAAGTTCTCTATAGGACAATAGATAATATAAAGATCCAACGTTCGAATTCAGGAGTTATCTTTGTCCCCCGCATACGAATGGATAAAAAAGGTCTCTTTGGTTTTTTAAATAAGAAAAATGGATGACATGAGATTACAAAAACAAGGCTATGCGCGTACAGCTTATCATTGCATTCCAACTTTTTGTCAATAAATACGAGGCTATAACAATTGACGAACAAGTTGCTTTTTCTTTCTTTATTATTATTATTATTATTATTATTATTATTTTAAAATCGCCACTACAAGGTTTCACATTCTAGTTGAATACGATTAAAGCTGTAGCATTTCTTTAGTCCTTGTATTCTCATGGCTCTTCTGACCTCTTCCACGCCGAGCCAATTGCCCTCTTCTGCATAAACCATACTGATGTGCTAACAATTCTGCTATTTCCAATCTTCCATGAAGGTTACAACATGATATCAAACTACTCCAAATTTTGGGGCTTGCTTCCATTGGCATGCTTCTCGCGACCTCGCAAGCATCTTCAAGCTTCCCTGCTCTCCCTAGAAGATTGATGTAGCAAGCGTAATGCTCTACTGTTAATTGCATTCTTTTACTATCTCTGCTTGCTTGATGGAAGATTTTCTGCCCCTCTGTGACAAGGCCAGCGTGGCTGCATGCAGATAAAACAGCAAGGATGGTGATTTCGTCTGCCTCTAGCCCCCCCTTTTGCATCTCATGAAAGAGCTGTAGAGCGTGTTCGCCGTATCCATGAAGGCCATGACCGCAGATTAACGTGCTCCAAGAAACGGAATCTCTCGTTGGCATCTCTACAAAAATTTGACAAGCAGAGTCAATACAACCACACTTTGCATACATGTCTATAAGAGCATTCCCGACAAAAATGTCCGAGTTCAATCCAGATTGTAAGGAATAACCATGGACTTCACGGCCGAGGTCCAGTGAAGATAGCGACGTGCTGGCAGAAATTACTGCCAATAAAGTTACAGAATTTGGTTTAGTTCCCTCAACCTGCATCTGGTTGAAGAGCTTTACAGCTTTGGCTTCCCGTCCATGATGAGAAGAATAGCCCCCAATGATTGAACTCCACAGCACAACATCCCTAACACTCGAACTCTCAAATATGAGTTCGGCAGCCACAGACGCACCCTCGCATTTGCAGTACATGTGTACAAGAGCCGCAGAGAAATGGGGATCCAAGTGAATTCCATGACGAACAGCATGCCCGTGAATCTCTTTCCCGTGCTTTATATAGCCCAACTCAGCGCAGACGGGTAGAATAGCCATCATAGTTACTCGGTTGGGGCTCACTCCTTCAACCTGCATTGCTCGAACAGAATGCAGCGCCCTATTAAAGTCGAGACTCGCAGCGCATCCTGAAATCACAGCTGTCCAAGTCACTTCGTTTCTCTCAGCCATCCGATTAAAAACATTGAAAGCCGTTGAGGAGCAGCAACATCTGAAATAGAAGTCAACCAGAGCTGTTGACAGGAAGACAGAGTCTCGGATCCTTTCGTCGGTGACAACAAGAGCGTGAATCGCCCTTCCCAGTCTCCACTCACTCGTCTGTGATAGGATGCCGGCAATTAACTCCGGCTTTGGCACAAAACCACGCAAATACATCCGACTGAGCATTTTCAAGGCTTCAAGGGAATATCCGTTTTGTAGACAACAGTTTATGATGGAACTCCACGAGACAACGTCCGTCTCAGGCATTTTGTCAAACACCTTGTTTGCATCCAGGAATGTGGAAACTTTGGCATGCAAGGAAATGAGAGAATTGGAGAGGACAGTGTCGGAGGAAGAACCTGACTTGAGGGCCACGCAATGAAGCTGAAGACCACAACATATGTTAAGGGGCTGTGGGCGATGATGCGCGGCGGCAGCGATGATGGAGGGAAGAATGGAGGGGTTTGCATGAAGAGCAGTGGGGTGGAGTTGTTCTTTGTAAAGCCGGAGGACTTGGTAATACAGTCCTTTGGAAAGTAACTGTTTTATTCTACTACAAATGGATGTCCTTTGGAATGATGTCATGATGGATAATATTGGGTCACTTTTTCACTTCTTTTTTTTTATTTTTTTGATGAGTCATAGGTAGGTGAGGTCATTCAAAATAAGCTGATATTCACTTTTTTAACGCGTCATGCATGTTTGTCTATTTTCAACTTATGTTCTCTTCTTTTGCGCTGCTTATACATACATCTACGTGTATATATATAAACACACACACACACACATGTAACAGCTCTGAACCGGAAGTGTACACTCCTAATTTAAAGCAAATTAATCAGCAACTCTTTGCATGCAACGCTAAAGTTACGCGTGTGTGCGTATAGTTTTCTTCTTGAGGTTTATGCCAAAGTTTCTTCATTAAGCTTCCCTCGGAAATGATATCCTCTTATATTTTTTTTTTTAAATAAAAGACAAAAAAAACACCCACACACACACAAAATTCACGAACAAATCAACCGTTTCAGGATGGAGTAACAGAAATCCTCTTAATTAGCAGAAGGCACGAGTTAAATGATACGAAATATGTGCTGCTTTTGTGCCCCATGCATAAAAAGCCTTGCTTATAAATGTTACACAACTTCCGATATATAGAAAAATAAGGTATTGTCATTTCACGTTCTTTGCTATTAATTTATACAATCTCCTCATGACGTTGTAGACTAGTACTAAATCCCTCTAGCCCTCTTCCTATATGCATAACTCTTGGTTCATGATCATATCTATATTCCTCAAAAATTTGCGTCTTTCATGGCTAGAGACGAGCGAAAGCAATTTTCTGCCGAGATTGACGTGAAGAATTCAGGAGCAGATGTTGATGGAACTGCTGATTTCTTCATGAAGGTTCAGCCTGCCTCGCGGGATTTTCTTAGTTCAATTAGAATTAGTCCGAAATATATTGTTAAGCTCGGTTATGGCTACCTCCTTAGCCCTAGGCTGTGTCTCTTAATTGTGTCAATTCTCGCGGTGAGCTTCAGTACTAGTGCTGAATCAGAGAAGCTAAAATGGCAAGATTTGTGTCCTAAATTTGACCTTGTGAATGGTCTCTTTTTTGTTGGGTTGTTGGTGGTGGTTATGTTTGTTTACCTTGACTTCACCCCCAAACCTACTTATTTATTGGATTTTGCTTGTTATCGTCCACCAGATGACCTCAAGGTATCGCTTTTACATGCCCTTGTTCTTACTAATTTATTATGTTTCCTTATAGTCTCTTTTGGTTAAAATATTAAGCCATTTTCCACTGTATATGCTAATTCTATGTACAAACATAATTTTCACTCATTCAGGTATCAAAGGATGAATTCATCGAGTTAGCACGAAAATCCGGCAACTTCAGTGAAGCTTCCATAGAATTTCAGCAGCGAGTTCTCAAGAGTTGCGGGATAGGCAATGAGAGCTACATGCCTAGAGTAGTTTTTAGGCCAGACCACAATATCACGCTCAACGATGGCAGAGAGGAGGCTGCAATGACCATGTTTGGGGCCATAAATGAGCTCTTGGCTGCCACGAAAATACGACCAAGGGACATTGGGATCCTAGTGGTCAACTGCGGAGTACTAAACACGACTCCATCATTGTCATCAATGGTGATAAATCATTTCAAGCTAAAGAATGACGTTCAAAGCTTTAACCTAGGGGGCATGGGTTGTGCAGCAGGGATTGTAGCCATCGATGTGGCCAAAGACCTTTTGAAGGTGTATCCGGGTACATATGCATTGGTCGTCAGCACAGAAGCTGTGAGCTTTACGTGGTACAAGGGCAATGACCGCGATAAGCTCATCTCCAACTGCTTCCTCCGAATGGGGGCTGCCGCTATGTTGCTTTCAAGCTCTCGCTATCATAGATGGCGAGCCAAGTACGAGCTCAAGCATCTGCTCCGAACTCACCAAGGCATGCACGACACAAGCTTCAAAAGCATGCACATAGCAGAAGATGCAAAAGGAACACAAGGTGTGTCTATCAACGACAACGCCGTGGAGGCTTTGCTTTCTTCTGTGTCCTGGCACTTGAAGTTCCTCACCAACAAAACTAGGCTTTTCGAGCACATTTGCATAGTGGCAACGAGCAAAAAGGTGCTCGATGAAATAGAAATGAAGCTAGAGCTCACCGAGGACAACACGGAGGCTGCAAGAAAAACATTAGAGAGATTTGGCAACACTTCAAGTAGTAGCATCTGGTATGAACTGGCTTACTTGGAGTCATCTACAAACATCAAGAACGGCCATCGGATTTGGCAGATCTCCTTCGGCTCCGGAATCAAGTGCAACAGCCTCGTTTGGAAAGCTCTGAAGAATATTGGCAGCACTAACCAAAGTCCATGGGAATGTTGAAGAGCACAGGACGCTCTCCTTTGTATCCATATACAGTTTTTTTTTTTCCTTTTTTTTCCCCTTTTAATTCGGTCCCACCAGGCCATTATAATCAGTGTTCAAGGATCATATTCATATATAAATCCCTACTCTTTAACCAATAAGCTCAATATTTTCAAAGTTTCCATCTCTGTTATCCGGTCTCAAACACCTGAAAACGCTAAACTATCTTAAAGAGGCATATTCTCGCCGCTCATATGACATAGGAATAATAGGTGGACTGACATATAGAATAGAAAAAAGGCCTAATGTGGCATTCACACACACACACACAAAGAAACGGTTTCTTCGGTATAAACAAAAAAAAAAAGATTTAAAAAAGCCTGATGTCCAAAGAATTATTAACAAAAAGATACACATTTTGGTTGATTCTTCATGTGACTTTCCACTGCTCCGAAAAATGTGGATTGTTTAGAGATTCCCCGCATGTATTGGAAAAGCAAGATGAACGCAGCTATTCAGAAGTAATGAACTCTAACAAGCACACTTCAAATCAACTCAAGACTGATTGACATAGAGGACGGGGACGAGGCCCGCCATTTTGCCATCTCTGCCGGGGCGTTTCTTCTTCACCTGCAAGAAAAGTGTGTGAAATGTGATATATTAGCTACCATCGTGTGACATGGTCCCTCAAATAAATTCCTCCTTACTCTGTACTTACGTAGAACCAGCCGTCCACTTCGTATTCAATTTCGACATCTTCTCCTGCCGTCAAGTTTAACTGCATGGAAATGAAGCTAATGTCAGTCATCCCCATGTTAGCACTTTTGGGGACTTAAAAATGGAAAGAGAGCCTATCCAAGTTCTAAAAATGGTCTTTTGGCTCTACCATTAGCATCACGAAACATTGACTTTTATTCTAAATGACTCCGAGAAAGGAACTTACCTCGTCATCTCCACCAGCGGTGAAGTCGTAAAGGGCTGTTCCGTATTGTGGGTTTCCAGAAGATGACCGCTCTT